TCTAAGTTAGACAGACAGACAGTAAAAACACTCACATTGTGGTGATATCCATCTATACATGGCCATAGTAGTTCTAATTACCATATAGTAATACAATCATCACAAACTACCTACTTGCAATTGGCTCGTAACACCATTACCATTACTAGAAGCGGACACTCTTCATACAAGCAAAAAAGTGGATTGGTTTGGTGGATCAGGAACTGCGACCATGCATATAGTAATTAATTTAATTCTGTTACTATATTCACCAAAGGTTTTACTATCAAGGTGGGAAAAAAGTGGCACGATTTGGCGGAGCGGGGACCGTGTCTGCACATAGTAACCGTTTTAATTCTATTACCATATATACCAAAAGAGTTTACGATCAGGTGGAATAAAAAATCGTTGATTAGGCCGAGTGACCCATGCGATCTGGCCGGAGCGTATAATTAGCATTCTGCGCTCAGGCTCACTTTAGCGCCACCGTATATATATATATATATATATATATATATATATATATAGTGTTACTATTCATCACCCAGGGTGCAGAATAAGTTATTCTTCACCCGAGGTAATCTTCATAAACAAATTACGTTTGGGATACAAATAGTAACATTCATATTGATTCACTACGTAAAATTTGATATAAGAAAACAAAAAAAATAAGTTATAAGACCAGAAATATCACATTTATATATGTTTTACACTATGATTTTACGTTCGTAATTTTAAGTAACATAAAATATTTTTTATGACGAGCATATATTTTCTTATGTTCTTTTTTTACGTATGAAATAAGACAAAATTTACAAAACTTAAAAATATGGTGCATTGATGTCAAAATAGAGAGGGGGTGAAGAATAGTTATTCTTCACCCAGGGTGATGAATAGCGCGACCCAAGGTCGCGCTATTCATCATCCTGGGTGAGGAATAGTTATTCTTCACCCCCCTCTATTTTACCATCAATGCACCGTAATTTACGTTCCGTAAGTTTTGTCTTATTTCCGACGTAAAAAGAGACTGTAAGAAGAAAAAAAAATTGTAAAAAATATTTTATGTTATGTAAAATTACGAACGTAAAAACATAATGTAAAATACACATAAACTACAAATTTTCTTGTCTTGTAACCTATATTTTTATATTCTTATGCCAAATTTTACATAGTGAATCAATAGGAATATAACTATTTGAATTCCAAACGTAATTTAATTATGAAATAATTGTAAGATTACCAAGAATAACTTATTCTACATCCGGGGTGATGAAAAACCAACCAACCAACCAAATCCACCCCTCATGTAAACCTCCCTCCTGTAGTAATTGGTGGTAAAAGGATCCATGGGTATTATTACTGGAAGCTAAGTGTATTACGATAGAACCTAAACCTAGAATTAAATTGTAAAAGAGTCTACCACATTCACTACAAACTGCAAAGCGTTTTACCATCAAGTTTAATGCCAGATTAAATAGTAAATGAATCTAGTATTTTTACTACAGAACACTAAGCATCTTACAGAATGAACAAACCAATTATTCCATGGGTTGAGCATTGAATAACACGTGCATATGTAGTAAATAGATTATCATTTTTACTACATGTTACATAGGACATTACCACTGATTGTTCACGCAGGCTTTCACAGTAAAGAGACCAGTAAGTTTTATTATATATTACATCAGACATTACTATCAATTTACGACCATGCCTATATACTCCCTTCATCTAAGTGTATAAATCACCTTACGAAAACCAAATAATTTCAGAACACTATGGCGTGAAAGAGTAGTACTAGTTGCATGCATATTAATTAGACCCCATCTATTAATTGAAGGACCAATGCATGCAATTTCTACGGGACGCTATTGGTATTTGAAGAGGTCTTCTAATTAATAGCACATTTTTAGTTGAGAAAAGAATAATGTGATTGACTTCATCCGCCATTCAATTATTTTTCCTAGTCCAATCTCTTTGCGCCTAGGTTACGGTGCACCTTCTAAGAGCAAGTATAATAAGTCCTACTCAGCAGGCTACAAGACTTGCCACGTCACAAAAATCCTACATGGAAGAGAGAGAAGTGAGGAGAGAGAGCTAGTCACCCACCTATACGCATGTTACGAGGCGCAATAGCTGGCTTGCAGCCCGAGCTGCTGCCTGTAAACCAGCGCTTTGCCATTCCTCCCAATCCCAGCATGCAAAGATTAATACTTAAAACCAACCCAACAGCTAACCTATAGCTGTCCTATTATATGGTGTTGGCTGTATGAAGACTATAGATGACATGGACATGACTAT